TCTGATCCGTCCAGAGGGAAATCCGTTTCATCCTCATGTGGTTTACTTTGCTGTGAGTCTGATCAACGGAGACACAGGGCAGCCATGCACAGTAGTCCTCTCCGCTAAGAAAGCCTTCTCCTTCCAACAGGGATGTCAGGGTGAGCTCTGTAGTGAGACAGGGAACAAGATGAAGGCTGGTGATTCCTAGGTCTGAGCGAACACCATTGCAGGTTACCCACCCGAAGATAAGGGAGTACAAGACTCTGTGCAGAGATCACGGAAACAGCAAGAACTGGCTGACTGCGGAAGTCTGTCAAAGACAGGAAAGGCTGAGAGGTGGAGAAAGAAAGCTCTTATTCAAATCCAGTCTGTTCCTTGGTAAGTTATGAAGGAAATTAAAAATACATAATAAGTAGGTCAGAATCCTTTTTATTTATTTTATTTTATTTTATTTTATTTTATTTTATTTTATTTTATTTTATTTTATTTTATTTTATTTTATTTTATTTTATTTTATTTTATTTTATTTTAATTTCTATACACAGCTCTGTTTTTTATGTATTTTTACCCTAGAGTCAGCTTTCAATTTATCTTATTTTTGGACTGAAAATATGTAACTATCACAAATTATAAAAAAGAAGTTGAAAAGTAAACTGCAGTTCCTGGCACCAAGATGAGTTACAAGTGCTTAAAAATGTAGAGTAAGAGCTAACCCAACAGACTGGTTTTTGCTACAGCCTTTCTCTGATGAGCCCACCTCTCTGGTAATTTCTCACTCATCTTCAGCCGTGTCTTAACCTTACTTCTTCTGTCCATAAGCAAACCTGATTGTTGAAGAGAATCTTGTCTTTATGTCCTTGGTCTTGCTTTCAAGCCATAGCCACTGGAAAAGAGTGGAGTCTGGGAAGAAGACCCGAAGAGAAACTTTCATAGGAAGAAAATGAACTGGTTTTACTGTCCATCAGTGTCACCATTTTACTGTGCTGGAGAGAGTGAAGCAATGCAACAACAAATCTGTCAAAATATGATCTTGTCCTTGTTCTTGTCGAAGAATGCAGCCAAAGCTGGTTGCAATACCACCACCTCCAATCCCAGCAGTTTCTGTACTTCCTCGCAGGTGTTTGTCTTCCATGGGGGTGACAGCTGAATTGTGTGCAGAAGGATTGACTGAGGCTGGCACAGATCCAAAGGCAAGTCTCCTCTTGGCTTGCTGTCTTCCTCTGGCCAGATGTTGCCACTATGGAGCAGAGGCTGCTGGAAACCAATTCTTGTTCAAGCAGTCATTTGCTCAGTTCCGACAACAGGCTTCCAGCACTAAGTCTTGAGCAATCTTCACTGGGAAAGCTATGTGTTTCTGCAGCGAGGCTCTTTTTTCTTTCAGGGGCTTCTGCTCTGAGACAATTTGGAGTAGAGAGAAGCATTTTCTGAAAGACTCTTCTGGGCAGAGGATCTTCATTGTTAGTCTTGTAGTAGCACATGCTCTGAGATTTCCATCAAATTAGGTTTTGGACATAGATGTAGAGAAGATTGTCATTGGGTTTCTAGGCCTGTATTTCTTGATGTCCACTTGGTATGGAACAAATCAAAGAGGCATACTGTATTCTTGTGCCTCTTTCCTCCTAATGAATTAATCCTTCCCTTTTTCTACAAGAATGGATGAAATAAATGTCATGCTCGTGTAAGGTGATCTACAGCTTATCTTCTGGCACAACCGCAATGTTGTCATCTGAAATCCAAGGTTACTCTGCACTGTAACCTAGTCATCAGCTGTCACCCAACTTGCGAGCATTTCTAACCAGTCCTACCTTACCAGTCAGGCGTTTTTGTTAAATGCTCCAGGGAATTCTATACATATTGTACAAGTGTGACTTTTGCTTCAATATGCACATTACAGACCCTTCACTTCAGAATGAGAACTACCAAGAATTCACGAGCTTCTTCCTCTAAGCCCAGAATGCACGGTGATGTGTTTGCGTTCTGCTCTGCAAAACGGCATGGCAACTTTACAACAGCTACAGACTTCTGCGTAGTAGCTTTTTACTTAGTGTCAATCCCAGCTAAGATGCTTGCTTTTCCCATGAGTCTTGTTTTCCCCATTCTTATTCCACTTCAAGAAAGACATTTGGTTATCTCTTTTCCTTTATCCGCACGGGACACTGCTACCTGTGTTTTTCTCACATCTATTTCATGGCTGATCTTTGTCTCCACTTCCTCTGTTATAAATCCCTACATCTGTTAGATTTGGACTCCTGTTTTCAAACACCTTGGTAACTTTTTGCTTTTTGAGATGCTTCTACTTTCTTGAAGAAGAAAGACCTGGATGGACAAGTCAAGTATCTCCAAAGAAAGGAAGCGTGCAGAATTCATGAGAAAAGCCACAAAGCAAATTGCCAGCTGATTCACAGCATACCTGATCGTTTTGTTTTCCAAGATATTAAAAACACCACTGCTGTGCTGGCCAAGAGGAAATGTGGCAATTCCCTTCGGGCTTGGAGTACTTACGACACTCAAGGTACTAATGCTTATCTGGTATCTTTTCAATATTGAGTACCTTGTGTTCTTTTGCCCAAGGTGAAGACAGGCAGTTTTGGAACCAACAGACTACACCTGGGTAGCCAGATAGCATACCATATAGGTATCCTTCTTCACTTCTATGAAATTCTGAAGTGGTTCACCTGGGAAATACAACAGCAGCATAGTTGTTAGACAGCCAGTCACGTGAAAGGCTTTGTTCAATTGACTGCTGCTTGTAAGCAATAATTACATCATAACAGAAAGTGACAGACTGACATCATTGTTTAGTGCATAACTCCGGTCTGTATGTGAATAGCTGGATTAGTAGGAATGGGAAAGAACCACATAAGTAAGTCTACACAGGAAATAAAGATAGATAGAATCATTTTTGTCTGTTCTTCTAAAAGCTGTCTATTAATTATGAAGCCACAGCACTGCTTCAAATGCTGGAATTGACACTGTTCCTGTAAATTGACACTGTTCCTTTCATTTCATTAGACCAACTACACAGAGTTGTATAGAGAAGACTATTCTTGTGAAGAAGAGTTGTATAGCATAGCCTAAGTACCCTCAATCGAAGCAGGTAAAATCATACCTAGTAAAGAACAAAAGAACATGTCTTTCTTTCATGAGCTAAGTGTAAGAGCATTCCCAAAATTCCGTCCTGACTTGGGGAACAACAAACCAAAACTGTGCAGAAGAAATCATGAGCCACTGGGATGAGTGCTCTGGCAAGCAGACCCAGACTCTTCAGATTCTTTGCAGCAAATCTACCCAGGCTATCATTTGCACTTCCTATCTACTTCAGTGCAACCAACTTTTGATTTATCCTCGGAGTATTTCTCAAGTTTTTCAGTCCTTCCCCAGACCTCTCCCCTTCACATGGGCCATGAAGCCCACCTTCAGCCAGAGAGGAGGCATGGCCACCCTGAAGAAAGAAAATGAATGGGGACAGTCCCTGCCACCTCATCCTAGTACGACGTACTGGGACCAGGTTGCCATAGGCGTCTGTCCCTGGAGTGGAGCAGGGTGGAGCATTAATCAGAAAGGAATTTGTCTCCATTGCCGAGAGCAAGCCACATTCCTCATGGATATCACAAGTCTTCTTTTCATTCCCTGTGGAGCTCTTGAAGCCCTCTGCTCAGGGAACCTCACTGCTGGAGACCCCTGTATGTTCTACAGGGACTCCTGGTACCTCAAGTGACCTGAGGCGTGGATTTCACAGCTCAACTGGAAGCTTGAGCCATGCATAAGCCTTAGGTATTGCAACCTGTTCCTTCCTTAGATCTCTCCTTACCTACGTATGGACAAGATTGTCAGGTGTTGTTTTTGAACCTTCCAGTACCCACTAATCACCGAATTGAAAAAGCCAATCTGCAAGCAAGGACTGGATTTCCAACAAAAAACGGAGAGAAGCCCTGGCAAAGCTGTTGTGAACAATAGCCCCCTCTTGTGTGTTAAAGGGGCAGCAGGGCTGTGTCTGCATAGGCCTGAGCTTTGGAGCTTTACGCAAACTTGGTAAACTTGTGAGGAAAGCAACCAGTGCAAGTGGCTTCCCCAAGGGGTGACTGCACAGAAGCGAACGCCTGACAGTGGCTGCCCAAGCTGACGGCTTAGCTCTGGTCTGGATATATCATAAGCTTTGTTGTGCAGGGTAGAAGTGAATTTCCGTCATGAAAAACAGCCCAGTGCTGGATGATATCATGTTTATTTCATAAAGAAGCAAGGAGGGAGGAAAACATGACTGTTTTCTAAGACTCTTGCACATCCTCAGCACATTGAGCATGTACGTCCTAGCACTGCACTAGTAAGGGAAGACCTCAACCAGGAGCAGATTATTCTTGATTAATTTAAACTGGGGGAGCGGGAATCACACCAGACAAAGACGTCCTTTTCACCAACATAGTTTATTTTGCCTGTCATGGCTCTATACAAAGACAGTAAAAAGGCAACAAATAAGGCAATATTCCCTCCTTCCCCTTCCCTCTCCTCCCCTCTACTTCCTTCCCTGGCTCTCTCCTCCCCTATACTCCCCTACACTCATCCCCCTAAGCTCCCCTACACTCTCCTCTCCTACACTCCCCTATACTCTCCTCCCCTACGCTCCCCTACACTCTCCTCACCTACAATCCCCTCCCCTACACTACCCTACACTACCACACACTACTCTACACTCCCCTACACTATGCTCCCCTACACTCCACTACACACACCTCCCCTACCTTCCCCTTCACTCAGTTCCCCTACACTCTGCTCCCCTACCCTCCCCTTCACTCAGTTCCCCTACACTCCCATACACTACCCTACACTCCACTACGCTCTGCTCCCGTGCCCTCCCCTGCCCTCCCCTGCCCTTCCCTCCCCTCCCCTTCTCGTTTTTACCCTTCCCTCCCCTCCCTCCCGTTCTCTTCGTTCCCTCCCCTTCCCTCCCGTCTTCTCCTTTCTTCTTCTCCTCTCTTCTCCTTTCTTTCACAAATTGCAATGGAGAACAGGGAGAAGCATCACTTCCAGTCACTTCCGTCGTTCTCGTAGCTTGTGTCACTGCCTGATTCGTGGCAATCCATCAGCAGGATCCAGAAGCGTTCCAGCTGCTGTGCTACTAGGTGAGCAGCCGTCTCCAAGTGGCAATCACGGATTTCTTGCTGTGGCTCGGACACGGCACTTTCAAGTCCACCCTGGCTTGGCCATGTCCTCTTGCTCTGTCCCCACCTACATTACAGTTCTGCTTAGAAGCCGAAGCACGCTGCTGAAGTACTTCCACTCCTTCCATTTGCAAGGATTGAGTTTGTCTAGCCAAGTGGTTTCTGTCCATAGAACACAAGAAAGAGGTTTTGGTTAGAAACAACTCAAGGAGGACTTCTTTTCCACATGGGCAAGGAATAGTCACGCTTTTCTAATGGAAACTCCAGTGGAAGAGAGAATGACAGATCATGCCGAGAGCTTTGAAATATCCCTTGGGGATGCCTAGTGCAGAGGACCAGAGGAAAGCTGTCCAAAGGACACCAGAGAATCACTCGGAATTACTTCCTCACAGACACATGTCCTTACTATGTCTGATATGGCTTCATGTCTGATATGGCTTCAGCTGGTTTCAGGGTTCTTGTTCACCTAAAACCTAAATTCGGAGTTGTAAATGAAGATGGAAAGATTGACAAATGTATAAATCACTGATGGGGAAAAAAAAAAAAAAAGAAAAAAAAAAAAAGTGCTTGGAGAACTTTGGCCATTAGCCCTGGAAAGCATCAAAGTACTGTCCTCTGAAGCAAATGCCTTCTTCTCTTGATACCTAAGGAGGGAAATCAATCCAATGTTGTAACATTAGAAAAGCAAACACTAAACACAAGCAAAGAAGAAGAACAAGTAAGCAATTGCAATGCCTATGGGGCTATTGCAGGGTTAGGCAAAGAACTATTGTGCCATGAAATCTTGGCATAGAAGAAATATTATGTGCATTTTTTACTGTTTCATTTGTTGAGCTCTGTTTGGAAGGGAGTGAATCTATCAGGATTAGATATCTAATTTAGAAGTGGAATTAAAATTGTTTTCTTTTTTTTTTTTTCCTCTTGAGTTCACTCCTTCCTATAGGATTTCATAATAGAATAGGTATATATTAAAAAAAAAAAAAGATTCCAAGCAGGTAATCATATTCACAATTATTTTTTCAATCCAGAAACAATAGCAAGGATGAGCTGAAAAGTATTTCTATGCCATTAGAGTGTCAAGGTGTGTCCCATACATTAGTAACAGTCAGAGGATTCATTTTGGAGAACAAAAGCTATCTTGAAAGAAGTAAAGACAGAAGTAAATATGTATGCATGTATATCTCCCTCTCTCTACAGAAACCTAAGAAACTCGTCTGCAGGTTAGCTTCTTGCTCTCTCTTCTCAAAGTTCTAGTGAATACAGCATCAGTGTGTGTTCCAAACATTACCCTCAGTCCAGCACGGATACACACGAGAGGTCAGTCTGCAGGTTGCGCAGGCCAAGAAACTGCTCTGGCTTGATGGGAAGAGCCAAGGCAGAAGTTGCTGTCAGAGAAAAGATGCTGTCAAAGCGTGTCACGTCCATGCTAGAGCACCATCTAGCATACCATCTCTCCCACCATCTAGCTCTACTGCATCTAGATGCAGCTATACTAGAGCGTCGCTACTTAGCCAGTCTGGGGGATCTTAGGAGCCTTCTGAAGACCCAGAGGAGGGGCTGTTGTCCTTTCTGTTTTAACAGCCAGGGAAAACTCTTACCGTTTGACACAGAGGGGCTGAAAAACACAAAGTGGACTTGCAATCTTCAGAGCTTCGAAGCAAGTGGAGATTGTGGAGGTTGTGGAGTAACCAAGGAAACTGTTGATCTAGAAGCAGCCTACAGATTGTGTTTAGCCAGGGCCTTGTATTGCCCTTCTGGCTGATCTGCCAGCAATTCAAGAAAGTCTCCCTGGCAAGCCAGCCCTGGAGTCACCCCAAACTTGGTGAAACCCATGCGATTGGAAAGGAGACAGTTGCACTCCATAAACTGCAGGTTTCTGTGCTTTTTGCTTGCTTGCTTGCTTGCTTGTTTTCCAGGCTGAATTGGATTAGCTGGACAAGTTGGCAGCTGCCTACAGACAAATACCTTATCAGGAGTCTAAACTACGGGATTGCTCTAACTGAGAACAAGGAATTGGACTTGACGTCCTGTGGGTAGTTAGGGTCTGGCGGCCGGAAGATGTGGCGCTGTATGGAAAGGTTGAGCCCCTCCCTTGATGGACAGTAGCGTGTGGCCTGTGCTGTAAGCAAGCGGAAGTGACGCTATGGGCCTCGGCTATATAACCCCATGGGACCCGACAGTAAACGCCATTTGCCATCCACCACATTGGTGTCTGGGAGCCGATGGACCGAGCGGCCTGGGGTTGGCCGCCGTGCCGTTCCTGAACCAGGTCGCCACTGCCCCCTGAAGGCAACAAGTGGTGCCGAAACCCGGGAAAACTCCTGATTCGGGTGAACGGCGGCCGGAGCGGCGGGACCAGCCCGGCGGGGAGGAAGCTCCCGGACCAACAAGGAAGATGGAAACCCTTGTGAAGGTCGTATCCAAGTTGTGGAAGCTGTGGGGTGGCTCGGCTGAGGAAGCCAGGGTGCCGGTGGGGAACCAGAGCCTGAGGAAATCTGGGAGAGACCACGGCCATGTGCGCCCCAGTACGGTGCTGAACTAGAAAACGAAGAGTCGGGTGAAGAAGCCTCCGGCGGGAACGGGGATGAAGCGTTAGGTTTTACTAACACGTGGAAATGCGAAAAAGAGAACGGTTGCGGGGACGACCGGGGAGGAGGTAGAAGCGTGAGAGAGGGGCAGAGAGCCGATCGGAACGGCCATCCGAAAACACGCTCCTGTGGCGCAAACGCCTCGCTGAGCAGGCGGCGGGGCGAGCCACGAGGCAGGGAGCGGCCCCCCCGCAGGGGTGGGGGGCGGGGCCGGACCTCGATGGGAGGGGACCGGAACTCGGAGGTGAGCAGTCAGTCAAGCTCTGACTCCGGGTCAGATACCGATTCACATTCGGAGGAGGAAATGGGGACAGATAGCAAAAATATCCCCATCCGAAATAAAGCTGCACCGCGAGGCGGAGAAATTCCTCTCATGGATTGGAGGAAAATTAAGATTGCGTGCGCCATCTGGGTGCTATCGGCCGTGCTAGCGTTCCCGGTCTGGGTGACAGACGGGGGGCAGAGGGTTCACTCACCAACAAACCCTAAGGATGTACAAGCGATTGTTAAAGCCATTGTGCATAAAGGGCTTCATTCTGCAATGGTCTCCACCCTCAGAGATGGTGTTTTCAGGGGAGACGACATGCTCCCGTTTGATATCAAACAAACTTGTAGACTGATCTTTGACGGGGGTGGGATGATCATTTTTAAACGAGAATGGGGGGACAACTGTATGAGACAGCTGGCCCAAGTAACTGGGACGGATCACACACTGTATGGCTCTAGCCTGCAGCGGCGAATGGGTACGGACCCAACAGTGATCACCCCCCAGGCGCAAGTCCAGGGCCTGAGCGCCCACGAAGGTATGGCAACTCGTGCGGCCAGAGAAGCTCCAAACAGCCGACGCCCCAATTTCAGAACAAAACTAATGAAAACTGAGTTTCTGTTCACAGGAACGGATCATCGGGCACCCCCGTAATCTGTATACCCCGGCGACATGAGAAGACAATAAGTCAGCAAGCGTCCTGTCTAAGCCTGAGAGTTCCACACTGGCAGAATCCAGACACCAGCGAAGCGGCCTCCGTGGGTGGGGGGCTGCAATGCGTTTGTGTGATCTTATCTTTGGACCTTGTATACGAAATATGCTTGTGTTGTTTGTTAAAAGTTGGTTAGAGAAAGTTAACATTATGTTGGTAGAACACCAACAACTACTTTAAGAGTGTATTTACTCAGGGTTACCGGTTACCTCTTAGTTTTCTCCTGGTTATTGTGCCTTATGTTTTTTAGTTAAGTTATGATGTCTACGTCTTAAGATTGTTATATTTTAGCTAATTTGGTTGTGCATAGGGAGGGGGGGAAATGTGGGTAGTTAGGGTCTGGCGGCCGGAAGATGTCGCGATGTACGGAAAGGTGGAGCCCCTCCCTTGATGGACAGTAGCGTGTGGCCTGTGCTGTAAGCAAGCGGAAGTGACGCTATGGGCCTCGGCTATATAACCCCATGGGACTCGACAATAAACGCCATTTGCCATCCACCACATTGGTGTCTGTGAGCCGATGGACCGAGCGGCCTGGGGTTGGCCGCCGTGCCGTTCCTGAACCAGGTCGCCACTGCCCCCTGAAGGCAACAACGTCCTTAGGAAGTCTTTCCAGCTACGCTTTCTACCACTACAGAAATGCACCTGATTCTTTCACAAAGCTTACGGGTGCTGACTGCAAATAGTCCTCATCATTCTCCATTGCCTTCCTCATCTCCATTCTCTTTTGGCCCGTGAAGCTTTTCCGAGCAGAGATGAAGATCAGCTCTAATACGCAGTCTGGCATTCTGCAAAGGAAAAGAGGAATCCTCCTGAAAACTCTTTGCAACCTCACCCGCCATCCCCAAAGCAAAGAAGAGCAAAAGAACAGCGCTTGATCACAGCAAGCATCAACTCGAGCATAGGTCTCCTGCAAGTGTAGCGGGGTTCAACAGCTGCCAAACAAGCTTAAGGAGCACACCCAGAATCAAGTCCATCCAACAAGTGCTTGAAAGAGTTAGGTTTTCTTAGGCGTGAGGAATGAAAAAGAAAGCAAGAACTGACCAGTTACCAGCACACAGTTTCCCTCGAGCTTGCTTGGCTTCATTCCGCACCTGAGGCTGGGCTCCCAAGCAGGATTGAGCAGCATTGTGCAGAAATGCCAAAGCCTCCTCCCCAGCCGTGCTGGATCTTCAGCCCCAAGGGCTTTGGCTCTGTTGCCTCCTCAGCAACATGGGCAATTGCCCAGGCAAGCCGGTGTCCAGCAGCTCGACGCAGGAAGCGCAGCCCCCCCTTGCCACCGCTTGCCGCTCACACCAGGAGCCCCCGCAGCGGTGGCAGCCGTTGCACGGCGCTTGGTGCGGTGCGGTGCGGGCAGAGGGCTGCGGGCTCCTTCTCCTCGGGGGCGGCTCCGCCATGGGGCGTCCGCCGCGGGGCTGCTGAGGCAGCGGGGGGCTCCATGGGGGAGCGGAGGGCGACGTGCGCTGGGGCTGGGACGGGCCTGGGGCTGGGGCACCGCGCCGCCGCCGCCATGCCAAGCGGCACTCCTGGCATCTGTGCTGCAGAGCCAGCCAGTGTGACGCCTTGGCGTTTGTGACTTCACAGAATCACAGAATGTCTACGTTGGAAGAGACCTCAAGACCATCGAGTGACAAACAAAGGCAACTCTGCATTTCCTTCTTCAACACCCGCTTTCTTCACAAAAACAAAACAAAACAAAAAACACAGAACTTCATCCCTCACACGGGACTCCCGAACTGAGCCTGCAGGGGCTGCCAAAGGCAGCAGCTCCTCAAGCACTGCTCGCACACGGCTCCCTACCACGGGCTCCATCCATCCCCCAGGAGCAAACTTGGTCAAACTAAGCCCCTTTGGAGATATTGGATGGCAGGCCTTACCAAATGCCGGACAAAGGAAAAGATCTAACACAAGAAGGGCTGCCCCGTGCCAGGCACAGTGTAGTTCCAGGCACTTCCAACAGCCCCAGTGCAGGCAAGAGTGAGCCTGTGCGGGATGATGACAGCGCCTCTGGAGAAATGTCCGGCAGAGGGCTGCCACGATGACAGAGCGGGCCTGGACTAGAGCAGCCCAGAGGTGTCTCCTGACCCCCACCTTGCTGTGAGCTGGTGTCTTGACTGGGAGGCTGCCGGGAACAAGGAGGCTCCACAGCAAGCACTCAGGCTTTGTGACGTGGGGCGGCGTCAGGCCACAAGACCATTGTGACACGGCAAGCGTCCCCATGGTGACGGTGTGACTTATATGGCCCGAGCCCCCGTGGTGCTCACTCCCAGGAGTGCAGCGCCGTCAGGAGGCAGCAGCTGCCCTGGGTGCCTGTTTCTTTGTCTCTGTGAGAGGACAAAGGGATGCCGAAGGAGCAAGAGGCGAAGGCCTGCTCCCAGCCCAACAAAGGGCTGCCGAGCATGAAGAAGCACCACCAGGTGCGGGACAGGGAGGGAGGGAGAGGGCAGACACAGGAGAGAGAGTGCCAGGTGGCGGAGCATGGTACCGGGGCGCGAGGCCTGGCCCTGAGTGTCTGCGGTCCAGGCCCAGGTTCTCGTGCCCCAGGGGTTTCTCTGGGGCAGAGCTGAGGCCTGGGATGGCTGTGACTCGCGTGGGTCGGGCAGCACTCTGTCCGAAGGATGTGGCACTGAGGTGGGGCTGGGTGTCCAGGCACCACAAGGGATGCTGGTGGCAGCGCAGCCACCACCATCCCACACCTCCTTCTCCCCACAGGTGCAACCCAAACCGCCACAGGCAGGACCGCTGTGCAGCCAGACTCCATCCTTGTCCATCCACGGGGTGAGGCTGCCACAGCTCCACTGCCCACAGAAGTCACAGGCCTCTAGGAAGAAGAGCACACAGGTAGGGAGCCCAAGTGAGATGGGGCCAGATGCCTTCCCAAGCCCTGGGAGCTGCTGACAAGGAGGCGGCACGTGCTGGAGGGGGCAGGTGGGCAGGTGCTGGAGGTGGGCAGGTGGGAAAGGACTACGGTAACATCACCTTTCTCCTTGGCTTCCCTTGCAGACAGACAGCCTGAAGCTGAGGCAGGCACTGCCCGGCAGCAGTGCCACCGGTGAACGGAGAGATCCTCTACCAGCCTTGCCGCCTCTGCCAAGGCAGGCAGCGACACTGAGAACTACACATCGGCATTCAGTGGGAGCTTCAACTATCCCCCGGCTGCCCAGTCTGTCAGTAGCAGGCTCCACCTCTTCTGTGCCATGCAGAGACTGCATCACGAGCACCAAGGCTGTCAGACTCCCCGAGGTCGTCCCACGTCCTCAAGGACACGTGAGAAAAGAGCAAATGGCAGCAACTGCCGAGAGCCGGGGGACAGCCCTGCAAGCCCCCGCATCCATTCTGGCGCCTCTGCAGGCCAGACCCCAGCAAGACAACAGGCCAACCCCAAGCCATGCTGCAGCCAGGAGCCAAAGACCCAGGGTGCAGCTGAGGGTACAAAGGCACTACGCCCCTCCCAGCAGTGTGGCAACACCCGCAAGGACAGCCCAGGTGCCGGCCACCAAGACTGAAAAGATGCCAGCAACACGGAGACGAAAAGATGGCCATGCTCGAGAGGACACAAGAGCTGCTGCTGGGATCTCCAAGCCAGGAGGGAGGCAGCAGAAGGAAGCCACCTGGAACCTTCACTGGGACCCAGACGCAGCCCACCAGCAGGGGCCTGGCTCACCCCACAGCACTGGCAGAGATTCTGCCAGAGAGGCAGTCAGCCCCGCACAGAGCGCATCTCTTGCCATGTCAGGGCCAACCAATGCTGAGCCAGCAGATTCTGCGCAGGTTGCAGGTCCTGCCAGTGAGGGGGACAAGAATCCTATGGGTGCATCAGCACCCAGAGATGCTAAATCGCCTTCTCCCCTGGCTGCTGCTATGCCCGGCCCTTCCACAAGCAGCCAGAAAAGACCGCCGACATTGAAAGACCGGGTCAAGATCAACTGGGATATCTATGGGTGCTCCTCCTTTCGGCCAGCAATGCAGATCATTCCGAGCGGGGAGAGGGAAGGCTGCCAGTTGTCCCGGTGGAACGAGTCCTGGCCGAGCAGCGTGAAGGTTCCGAGGTTGCGAAGGATCTGGGCAGCAGACGACGGTGACACAGCTGACAGCACTGCAGCCAGTGCATCGGGCAGGCAGGAGGTGGCAGTGAGGACTGCGGGCCAGCGCCTTCCCTACTTTTGCTCCACAACGAGTAAGACCATTCTGCAGGACATTCAGGAAGAGTGGGAAGAGAGCCCCAGGATAGAAGCTGTGGCAGAAGCAGACGACGTCCTGCCCGGCACGTCTCCTGCCCCATCTGGTGAGGCAGATGCCAGGCCTTCAGCTGCTCCTATGGCCGCAGTTCCTGGGCCCGAGGAGCTCCCCCCGGCCTGCATGCCCAAAGAGGGAAAAGCTTCAGCCTCTCCCCTGGCTGCTGCTATGCCCGGCCCTTCCACAAGCAGCCAGAAAAGACCGCCGACATTGAAAGACCGGGTCAAGATCAACTGGGATATCTATGGGTGCTCCTCCTTTCGGCCAGCAATGCAGATCATTCCGAGCGGGGAGAGGGAAGGCTGCCAGTTGTCCCGGTGGAACGAGTCCTGGCCGAGCAGCGTGAAGGTTCCGAGGTTGCGAAGGATCTGGGCAGCAGACGACGGTGACACAGCTGACAGCACTGCAGCCAGTGCATCGGGCAGGCAGGAGGTGGCAGTGAGGACTGCGGGCCAGCGCCTTCCCTACTTTTGCTCCACAACGAGTAAGACCATTCTGCAGGACATTCAGGAAGAGTGGGAAGAGAGCCCCAGGATAGAAGCTGTGGCAGAAGCAGACGACGTCCTGCCCGGCACGTCTCCTGCCCCATCTGGTGAGGCAGATGCCAGGCCTTCAGCTGCTCCTATGGCCGCAGTTCCTGGGCCCGAGGAGCTCCCCCCTGCCTGCATGCCCAAAGAGGGAAAAGCTTCAGCCTCTCCCCTGGCTGCGCACCCTGTGTTGGAGGCCAGGACAGCACCTCTCACCCCATCAGCATGTGAGGAAGAAGAAGCAGCACCTTCTCCCCTGGCTGGGGGCCTTCTGCAAGAGGTAAGCAAGGTATACCTTCCTCGTCCCACAGTCATGGAAGCCACAGACCCCTGTCGGTGGGCCTCGAGGCCCCTCATCCCTTATCCATCTGGCATCGGGGGCATCGGGGCCCGGAGCATGGCCAAACAGTGGCCCACAGGGCTGTGGTTTTCTCTCCCCATGCAGGTTTCCTCCGAGCATAGAAGCAGTGCACAGTGTTCCTCACACTTCCAATCGGTGCCAGAGGAAGGGCCAGGTATGTCCTAAAGTATGGAGCCATCCCAGCCCACGGCACGGAGGCTGGCAGCACTCCACGCACAGGGTCCCTCCATGTCCAACTGTCCCCTCCCCAAGGGAAAGCCTTGGTGGCGGGGGCAGGCAGGACCATGCCCAGTTCCATCCCAGCCCCTCACGTACAGCTCTCTGACCCCCACAGGCACTGCTGCCCTCCCGCACGCTGTGGCTCGCTCGCAATTGCCCCCCCTCTTCAGGAGAGCACTTCGGGCTCTCCGCAGGAGTTACTGCTTCAGCTGCATCACAGAAGACCTAGAGCAACGTGAGGCTGACAGTACCAGGGAGCTCCCCACAGATGGCAGCTTCAGTCCCGAGGACGGGGCTTCTGAATAAAATTGTTCAGGACTATTTCATAGATGAGGGCTGTCTCTTCTGTTCTGTTCTGCGTGCATGGGTGTCTGTGGGCTGCGTGTGCAGCTGCTGCGGTCAGACCCTGGGGCAGGGTGTCCCCATCTCCATGCTGCTAGTGCCTAGAGGGTGCACAGGTTTGTGCAGCAGTACTACCATGCAGTACTCTTGCGTGGGCTCCTCTCTATGGGCTGCAGCTTCAGCCTAGGGCCTGCTCCTGTGGGGGCTCTCCATGGGCCGCAGCTTCCTCCAGGCCACATCCACATGTTTTATAATGATGATGATGTTTTTGTTGTTATTATTATTATTATTATTATTATTATTATTATTATTATTATTTATTAATTAATAATATAATTAATAAGTAATCATCATTTAATAATTATTTAATAATTACAATATTAATAACAATAATAATGGATTCCAGGGCAGCGATTCCAAAACTTTTGTCATGAAGACTGGTTTCCCATGTACATGAGAGACGCATAAAGAAATCGCAACTTCTTTTCACCAAAGTCTGAGTTGTTGTGATATCATTGTGGTGAAAACACGCGCTTTTCACCAAAGTAACATAATTTAGGTAAACTTGGTCAAACTAAGCCCCTTTGGAGATATTGGATGGCAGGCCTTACCAAATGCCGGACAAAGGAGAAGAGCTAACACATTTAGGAAACCAGTATTTGCAACATCTTACAGTTTGGTGCAAGCAACTAGAACAAATCAAGAAGAATGTTTTAGGCACTAGACCTTTTATTTGCCTCCTACAAGGGGAAGGATGCACTTGAATCAATCTTAGGTTGCTCTATGTGTGTAAATGAGGCAGGAGGAATTGAGACTGAGCACGAAAACATTTGGGGAAAGACTAAGGTAATAAGGTGATTAGTCTAAGGTGATTACGTAAGGTAATTCAAGATGACACCTCCTGGCGTTTTCGAGAATTATGCAACAAAATAACCTTTTTGGGACAGACCCTTGAGGATGTCTGGGTCAACCACTGTGCTGTAAATTGTAGACCTCATCTTAGTATTCTTTTTAAAAGCAGTTAATAAGCAATGACTTTGATTAGAACACTAAAGAACGTCTCTTCATCAAAGGCTGCATCTACTCAGATGTGGGGATGGAGCAATAATCTATTTTTGCAACAAATGAGTATTTGTTGTAACAAATGAGGATTTGTTCTTGGTGCTCTGTGCGTGAGTGAATGAATGAAGCGGCCCTGTGGCTGCTGCACCTTCTGTGATGATGGTAGCAAGGAATGCCTATGTTTCTGCCGGAGCTCTTTCTAGATTGTGAATTTATCCAAACCGTGTTCTGTTCCCTTGGAGGTACAGTAACGAGCAAGACAGTCCAATTGGAGAAGATCAGTAGACCAAAGCAGCTAAGGCTAAAGGCCTTACGTATTCGTCATGTGGTTCCAGCGTATATGAGCATTGGACTAGATTCATTTGGCACCATTGGAAGAAAATGCCTGCAAAATTGCATTCAGATCTCTTTGTAGAACAGGTGATTAGTTTGGCTTTTGATCTCCCGTTTCGGGCTTGCAATACATTGATTTTGCACCTGAAACAGATCTCTCACAGAAACAGATCTGTTTCTTTAGAGAGAGCATTCATTCAAGTACCACTAATCCTCTCTGAAACTCCAGCTGCATGGAGTAAATGTGATGACTGGAGATTTATTGCAAAACTACATTCTTGCTCCATCCCAGCATCTACTAGAGATGCAGCCTTTGAGGAATAGATTTTCCTTAGTGTTCTAAGAAGAGCTGCAGCCAAATAAACTGCCTTCTCCTAGGACCACTACAAAAAGATTTCTGCTCTCCATAGCTTGTCTAGCACAGGGAGTCTTGGTCAGAGCACAGTCGCTTCTGACACTTGGTGCATGACGCTTAACAGAGACTCACAGTTTACACTGAGGTCAAGCTGAAAAGGAGAATCGTGTTGGAGCTGAGAAGGTGACAGAGACATACTTAGGGTAAATGAGTCATTTCTGTGCCCATTTCTTCCATGCCAAATAGGAACGGAGGGAATTCATTTAACACTTGTCAGTAACTTAGATCACAATAGATTTGATTTCCTAATTGTTCTGATAGTACATTTTCCTGTCCACTGTGGGTCTGTTCCACTTCCTAGAGCAGTCCAGATGGATTCTGCCATTTGTCAGCAGAATTTTACAGAAACTTCTACTGAGCACAGTCTACATGGATAGAATAGAAAACATGTTTAACTTCCTCCATCCCACCAAATGAATAAGTATTTTTTTAAAGGACTAAGCATCTTTACTTTTCTTTTTTTTCTTTCTTTTTTTTTTCTTTTTTCCTTTTCTTTGGGGGGGGTGGGGGTCTGTTTTCTAGACTTCACAAAATAGATCATGGCAAAATTCTATTGAAAAATATTCAAACAGTTATCTTAAGCAACAAAAATGAATATGAAATGAATGAATGAATGAACTGAGTGAAGGGGAGGGTAGGGGAACTGAGTGAAGGGGAGGGTAGAGGAGCAGAGCGTAGTGGAGTGTAGGGGAGCATAGTGTAGGGGAGTGTAGAGTAGTGTGTGGTAGTGTAGGGTAGTGTAGGGGAGGGGATTGTAGGTGAGGAGAGTGTAGGGGAGCGTAGGGGAGGAGAGTATAGGGGAGTGTAGGAGAGGAGAGTGTAGGGGAGCTTAGGGGGATGAGTGTAGGGGAGTATAGGGGAGGAGAGAGCCAGGGAAGGAAGTAGAGGGGAGGAGAGGGAAGGGGAAGGAGGGAATATTGCCTTATTTGTTGCCTTTTTACTGTCTTTGTATAGAGCCATGACAGGCAAAATAAACTATGTTGGTGAAAAGGACGTCTTTGTCTGGTGTGATTCCCGCTCCCCCAGTTTAAATTAATGAAGAATAATCTGCTCCTGGTTGAGGTCTTCCCTTACTAGTGCAGTGCTAGGACGTACATGCTCAATGTGCTGAGGATGTGCAAGAGTCTTAGAAAACAGTCATGTTTTCCTCCCTCCTTGCTTCTTTATGAAATAAACATGATATCATCCAGCACTGGGCTGTTTTTCATGACGGAAATTCACTTCTACCCTGCACAACAAAGCTTATGATATATCCAGACCAGAGCTAAGCCGTCAGCTTGGGCAGCCACTGTCAGGCGTTCGCTTCTGTGCAGTCACCCCTTGGGGAAGCCACTTGCACTGGTTGCTTTCCTCACAAGTTTACCAAGTTTGCGTAAAGCTCCAAAGCTCAGGCCTATGCAGACACAGCCCTGCTGCCCCTTTAACACACAAGAGGGGGCTATTGTTCACAACAGCTTTGCCAGGGCTTCTCTCCGTTTTTTGTTGGAAATCCAGTCCTTGCTTGCAGATTGGCTTTTTCAATTCAGGTGATTAGTGGGTACTGGAAGGTTCAAAAACAACACCTGACAATCTTGTCCATACGTAGGTAAGGAGAGATCTAAGGAAGGAACAGGTTGCAATACCTAAGGCTTATGCATGGCTCAAGCTTCCAGTTGAGCTGTGAAATCCACGCCTCAGGTCACTTGAGGTACCAGGAGTCCCTGTAGAACATACAGGGGTCTCCAGCAGTGAGGTTCCCTGAGCAGAGGGCTTCAAGAGCTCCACAGGGAATGAAAAGAAGACTTGTGATATCCATGAGGAATGTGGCTTGCTCTCGGCAATGGAGACAAATTCCTTTCTGATTAATGCTCCACCCTGCTCCACTCCAGGGACAGACGCCTATGGCAACCTGGTCCCAGTACGTCGTACTAGGATGAGGTGGCAGGGACTGTCCCCATTCATTTTCTTTCTTCACGGTGGCCACGCCTCCTCTCTGGCTGAAGGTGGGCTTCATGGCCCGTGTGAAGGCGAGAGGTCTGGGGAAGGACTGAAAAACTTGAGAAATACTCCGAGGATAAATCAAAAGTTGGTTGCACTGAAGTAGATAGGAAGTGCAAATGATAGCCTGGGTAGATTTGCTGCAAAGAATCTGAAGAGTCTGGGTCTGCTTGCCAGAGCACTCATCCCAGTGGCTCATGATTTCTTCTGCACAGTTTTGGTTTGTTGTTCCCCAAGTCAGGACGGAATTTTGGGAATGCTCTTACACTTAGCTCATGAAAGAAAGACATGTTCTTTTGTTCTTTACTAGGTATGATTTTACCTGCTTCGATTGAGGGTACTTAGGCTATGCTATACAACTCTTCTTCACAAGAATAGTCTTCTCTATACAACTCTGTGTAGTTGGTCTAATGAAATGAAAGGAACAGTGTCAATTTACAGGAACAGTGTCAATTCCAGTCAAGTTTGGTTCACGGTACTAGATTTAAAGGATGCCTTTTTGTGCCTGCCTGTGTCACCTGAATGCCAGAAACTCTTTGCCTTTGGATGAGAAATTTCTCACAGAGCATGAAAAACGCAGCTCATCTGTCTTTTTTTAGTCACACACTCTTATTCATAAAGAGATTAATTTCTTCATGAATTCTATGTTCTTGAAATGCTTGAAATATGGAATTTCTGTCCAGTGAGACGTTTCAATTTTGCAGAAAATGTATCCCAGATAACAAGGAGAAAAGGAATACTGTGTAGTTTACTGTCTGTGTTGTTATTGTTATTATCATTATCGTTATTATTTTAACAGGCTTAACTGATTTTGTTCACTAAAATCAACCTTGAACTTATGCTTTTCAGGTATTGCCAGTCTCTCTCTTGTTTCAGAAATGTTAACTTGTCCTTCAGAGTTACAAGAGCTTTTGGCAAGTTAGAGTCTAATATTTCAGAGTCAGGGAACACTCCAGCTACAGGAAATCCACACTTCAAATACAGACACCTTGGAAGGAGTGTTCAAATGATGATGTACCAGCTTTGAAGTCTACAAGGCTATTCTACCAAACTTGTTAAGAATCAATTCCATGCTAGGCCACCTGTCATGAAATTTGTCTATGATTTCTACAAAGCTGTCTCCCTCTGGAAACTTGAGACAGTTCCGTGTTGGGTAGTCATCTATCTTCAAACACTGAGAACCACTTCATAGAAAAGAA